CGATATTGATTTACATCAAATTGATGTCAAAACTGCATTTCTAAATGGCGATTTAGAAGAGGAGGTATACATGGATCAACCTGAACGATTGACTTCGGTCAAAGGAGATCATTTAGTTTGTAAGCTCAAGAGATCCATATATGGCTTGAAGCAAGCTTTTAGGCAATGGTATTTAAAGTTCGACAAAACAATTTCAGCATTTGGCTTTATAAAAACTGAGTTAATCAGTGCATTTACATCGAGATAAAAGGAGGTAGTTTTATCATACTTTTACTATATGTGGATGACATTCTCTTAGCTAGCAATGATCTTGGATTACTACATGAAACAGAGCAATTTCTAACTCAAAACTTTGATACGAAGGACATGGGTGAAGCCTTCTATGTCTTAGGCATAGAGATTCACCAAGGCATGTCATTAAAGACCTTAGAATTGTCTCAAATGGGCTATATTGAAAAGGTTTTGGAGCATTTCAATATGAAACATTGTTCATCAAGTTTAGCACCTATTTTTAAAGGAGACAAGCTTAGTCTTGAACAATGTTTGAAGATTGATTTAGATCATCAATCCAAGAAGAATATTCCCTATGCTTCTGCAATAGGAAGTCTAAATTATGCTCAAGTCTACATAAAACCTGACATTTCATATGTAGTAGGAGTTTTGGGTAGGTTCCAACAAAATGCTGGTTCGGCCCATTGGACAACAGTAAAAAAGGTATTGAGATATCTTCAAGAAACAAAAGATCACATGCTTGTCTATAAGCATGTTGATTACTTGGAGTTAATTGGATATTCAGATTCAGATTGTGTTGGATGTCAAGACATAAGAAAGTCTACTTCAGGCTTCATATTTCTCCTTGTTGGAGGAGGAGTTTCCCAGCATAGTGTAAAATAGCCGAATACAGCTTCTTCCACAATGGAAGTTGAAGTAGTAATGTGTTATGAAGCAATTTCTCATGCATCGTGGTTGAGACAATTTATCATAGATTTAAAAGTGGTCTCATCAATAGAAATACCAATAAAAATATTTGTGATAATACAGTAGTTATGTGCTTCCTAACAACACATGTTCAATAAGTCGACGTCGTCACATCGAAATAAAATATTTTGTTGTTAAAGAAGATGTTCGAGATCGTCATGTATCGATTGAACATATTGGCACAAATGATATGATCGCTGATTTATTCACCAAAGGTCTTCCACCCAAGTGTATGTGGCTCATGTAAGCCATAGGAGTTTATGTAAATCATTGTGTTAATAATTCTTTCTAATACTTTGCAAATGTAAATTTGATAATTTCAATTAAAGTTTTATGTTATTAAATTTGTGTATATATATAGTTTTGATAATGACAGATGCTTATTGTATTTAAGGCAATAAAATTGACCCAAGAATAAATTATTGAATTTTATTCTATTAAGTCTGGTTGTCACTCATTATATAACGAACAATTCATGTAATGCATGGAAATGAGTGTTCTCCTAATAAGACATATACTGCCATGATTCATGACTTGTACTTTTATCATGGATGTGATGAGCCCATTAAGAGTGAACTAAAGTTCTATGTATAACTATCCATCAAAGTCAATTCACTCTTTTATATTATTGGGTCAAGTGGGAGACTGTAAGTGGCCCATTAACTGCCACTTATTTTCGAGCAGTTACAATCCACTATTTGAGGTAACTACCTCAGTAACTACTTGGTAACCACTACCAATGGCAGTTGGTGGTGGCGGCTAGCGGCCAGCAGTCATCTTGGGTGGTTAGAGGTATTTTGTTAAATTTTAAACTTTTGTTGTTGGGGTGTTTTAGATAAATTTTCAAATGTAAAAAGTTAAAAATAATACTCTAAATAATAATAATAATATTAAAAAGGAAGTGAAATTAAGTAAAAATCCCTCTGATAATATTTTATTCCTCCCAACCAAACATATTAATTATTTATACTCACAAATCTAACCAAACATATTACTATAAGAGTCTCCATTAATCTTTAAGGTAATCTATCTTAGAGGTAATCCTATTTTTTAGTAATAAAAAATTCTTGGAACCAAACGTAACCGAAGAGTGAAGACAATAAACATTGTAAATTTTTGGCATGAAAACTATTTAAGGTTTATTCTTGAAGGATGTTAAACAAGAAATAACATAGTTGAACAATGTCAACTAGGCTTTCACATCACTTGCAATTATAATTATTTGGAATAAAAGTTAGAAATAGTATCATTACTGTAATCAGTAAAGCTTTATATACCTTTCATTGGTATTATCATTTACCCCCTAAAAAAGTATCAAAAACCCCTAAGGGTTCGTTTAGTTTAGGGAATATTGTATTACTGAGAATGTTATATTAGTGGGAGGATAGATTACCTTTAAGATTACTGGAGAATGTTTAAGGAAATGTGTTTGGCTATGTTGGAATAAATTAGTGGGTATGTTATATTGATATGTTTAGTTGGAGGATAAATTGATGGGTATGTTATCTAGATTACTAAATTGCCCTCCTTTTTAAATAGTAATATAATATTATTTTTTGAATCATTTCTTTTACTCCTTACATTTGAAATTTTACTAAAACACAGAAACCATATAAAACTTTAATTTATAACAAAATTACCCCCAATCACCCCAAGCCACTGTCGGCAGCCAATCACTTCATCGGAATTGCGCATGATTGGTCGGATTTGGCTGGTCGTGCATTGGAAAAGCCTTTTCTGGCCATGGATTTGTGATCCGTGGCCGTTTCATGGCCAAAGATGTGGCTGTTTCATGGCAAAAAATGTGGCCGTGAAACGTATCTTTTGTTAGTAAACGGTCCCGTATACGCAGCGAAAACAAAAAAATTAATATAACAGGATCGTTTACATGAGCCAAGATCAAGGGTATAATTTTACAATTTTATCATAATAAGAATCTGCAGAAATATTCAACATGAGTTAGGAGAAACAAACGCACGTTTGGAGGCTCCACCACGATTGTCTTTGAACGTTTTGCTACCGATCCAAGTGTAGGATCAAACCCACGTAGTCCACACGAAGACAATCTCAAAAGAACCAAAGAGGTATTTGCTAGATCCTCTTTGGCTTCAAGATTAAGAAGAAAAGAAATCAAATTGAATTGATTNCCTCTGACAATATTTTATTCCTCCCAACCAAACATATTAATTATTTATACTCACAAATCTAATCAAATATATTAATATAAGATTCTCCATTAATCTTTAAGGTAATCTATTTTAAAGGTAATCCTATCTTTTCAGTAATAAAAAATTCCTGGAACCAAACGTTACCGAAGAGTGAAGACAATAAACATTGTAAATTTTTGGCATGAAAACTATTTAAGGTTTATTCTTGAAGGATGTTAAACAAGAAATAACATAGTTGAACAATGTCAACTAGGCTTTCACATCACTTGCACTTATAATTATTTGGAATAAAAGTTAGAAATAGTATCATTACTGTAATCAGTAAAGCTTTATATACCTTTCGTTGGTATTATCATTTACCCCCTAAAAAAGTATCAAAAACCCCTAAGGGTCCGTTTAGGTTAGAGAATGTTGTATTACTGAGAATGTTATATTAGTGGGAGGATAGATTACCTTGAAGATTACTGGAGAATGTTTAGGGAAATGTGTTTGGCTATGTTAGAATAAATTGGTGGATATGTTATATTGATATGTTTAATTGGAGGATAAATTGATGGGTATGTTATATAGATTACTAAATTGCCCTCCTTTTTAAATATTAATATAATATTATTTTTTGAATCATGTCTTTTACTCCATACATTTGAAATTTTGCTAAAACATCAAAACCATATAAAACTTTAATTTATAACAAAATCACCCCCACCCACCCCAAGCCATTGCCGGTAGCCAACCACCATCGTCAGAATGGCGCATAACTAGTCGGATTTGGCTGCTCGTGCATTGGAAAAGCCTTTTTCGGCCATGGATTTGTGATCTGTGGCCGTTTCATGGCCAAAGATGTGGCCGTGAAACACATCTTTGGTCGTGAAATGACCATAGATCTGACCGTGAAAAGGCCAGATCTGACCGTTTTCTATGCATGGTCGCCTTGATCTAGCCGACCGTATGCTGTTTCGATGACTGCTGACGGTGGCTGATAGCAGTCTTGAGTAATTTGGTTGAAGTATAAGGGTAGTTTTATCTTAGAAATCATGAATATGAGGTTAAAATTGTCCATACATTTATTTTAAATTGTTTAGATAACAAGGGTATTATTGTACTAAAATTTTATTAGTAACGGGTAAAATTGTAACAAAGTTAAGATTATTAAGTAATCTTAAAGTACCTAAGAAAATGAAGGTAATCAGATTATCTCCTATATTACCAACAGTAATTATCATTGATTTTGAAAGATTACCGGAATCTTATAATACTTAACAACCAAACGTGATAATGTAAGTAAAATAAGATGATATTATCTTAATAATAGGGATTATCCCCAACCAAACACACCCTAAGAGGATATGTATAATAATTTTTAGAAACTACAGGCACGTTTAAAACTTCTCGTATCCCAGGGTAGGTAATAAAACCCGAATAAAAGAGAAAGAAGTTCATAACCCAAGTAAAATGGACCATGTTTAGTACTCTCAGATTTTCTGGGCCGGCCTAGCACTTGTTGACACCAGATTTTCTGGGCCGGCCTAGCACTTGTTGATATCAAATATCAATGAGCCCCCTGTCGTTAATCTAAAGTAATTAAATCCCATAGTTTCCACCGTAATAAAACCTAGAGTAATGTTATATTTATATCACTTTTTTATATATTTTTATTATATTATGTAATATATTATAATTATATAAATTTTATTATAATATTAAAAATTTAAAATAATTAAAAATTTATGTGATTATAATATATTTGACGTGATATAATAAAAATGGTGTAAAAGAAGGATAAACGTAGCGTTACTCTAAAACCAATCCTTGAAAGTACGAAATTCAGGGGCGCACAGATTAGGTATTTTATTGTCAATATAAAATGAGTAAACCAATGCGTATATTTTCTGCAATAAAAATATCTTGGATTCTCTTGTGCTTCATTTGAGTGTGTCTTCTGTAAATTTGGTGCATCAGGAGTCTTCAATGGCGGCGAGACTATTCATTTCAGGAGCAATGGCGGCCTTTCTCTGTTTGGCATCTCTTTCTGGAGCTTCTGATACAACCCCAGAAGTTGCTTTTGTCAAGAAGACCATCTCTTCTCACCACGTCGTCATCTTCTCCAAGTCCTATTGCCCGTACGAATCTTCATCTCTCTTTGTTAAAAATGTTTTCTTTATTGTCAAGTTTAAAGTTTATTGTGTTTAATTGTTTGTGATCTTTTTCTCCTTTGAAATTAGCATGCGGGTTTGGTTGAAATTCTCCAAATTTAGCACTGATTCATAGAAATGGGCTTCTTTTTAAATTTTGGTGATATCAATCAAGTGACCATTTTTATGTATTCTAATTGCTTCTAAATATTTAGCTTACACTTGCTTTATGTTATTTTTCAATTCATTAAAAGGGATGCTATGGTATAGTGAAGATTTAGTGTAAATTGGAAGGGATAATGTGGCAAATGGGATGGAATTCAAGCCAACAATAGTTTCCATCAAACTATTCCCAGCCCCTGTCGAATCTTTACTAATTTATTCAATCATTTATTTTTTGTGCGAATTATTCTGCAGGTTTTGTAGAAGGGCAAAAGCTGTCTTCAAAGAGTTGAACCAAGTTCCTCATGTAATTGAGCTTAATGAGAGAGGTTTGTTTACGAAATCTTTAATGATGCTTTCATAAAGTACACGATAGACCTTAATGCTGTTGGAAAATTAGGAACCTGGTAATAATGTAAGAGTTGAAAGAGGAGAAAAATTGAGGCAACCGAAATAAGTATTCCACAATCTTACTGCTAGAATTTCTTGTTCTTTCATACTTAAGTTCTATTCGTTTTAGCATTTATGAAAGTTGCCAATAGGTTCAATCCCACCTTAAATATTGTTTAACTTACATTTGTAGTGACAGGTGGAGTCTTAGGGCTTTCCTGGTATCCGATTTGCCTTAAAGCCTTCATATTATTGTTACTTTGACCGAGAACTTTGTGGAATGAGTTCCATCATCCTACATTAAAGTTCTGAATTCTTCATATTTGTATGGACATCCTAAGATTAATTGAGAAGATTTCATTGTTACTTACAGCTGATGGCTCAAACATTCAAGATGCCCTACTTGAGATTGTTGGAAGGCGCACTGTACCACAGGTGTTCATAAATGGAAAGCACATTGGAGGCTCAGATGGTAATCTTTTTTCTTTTATGTGCATCCAGTTTTAAACTCCTTTCTTCATTCCAAGAAAAAACAAAATAAGACTATAAAATCACTGGAGAGCTCCTTGATATGTTTGTCTCAGATACCGTGGAAGCATATGAAAGTGGGAAACTGGCAAAGCTTCTAGGTATTGTTGTTGACAATAAAGAAGAACTCTGAACCAATACTAACAAAAGTATTATTCAGTGCTAGAATTGCTTCGAGTGCAGAGCTTAGTGCTTCCTGAGGAACTTGCTAAACTTTGATGCACTGCTGTGAAGTGTAAGGATGATCTTTGTGCTGATAATAAGATAATTTTGTTATTGTTGGAGAAACTTTTGAATTCAGTACTTGTGTAACTCTTTCTATGCATATTTAGGACTTTTTTCTTTAGATCAACTTTGGAGAAATTTTTAGATCCTCTATGATTGGTGCTTTTCAAAATGAATACATACGTACAAAATATTTTCATACATGTGAGCAAGATTATGAAAGTTCAGCCATTTAGTTTCAGTCGAAAGTTCTGTAGATGTTGGACTGTTGCGTGCTGCCTAATTTGGGATTTAATCATTTTGTTTTTGATTCACCGTCCTTATGGTCTACTTAAGTGATGTTATGCAGCCAGTCTATGTTTTTTTTACTTGGTTTTGTTTGTGGCTCTATCTTTCAATAATTGGTTGAGCATAGCTTGTTCAAGTAGAGCTTGTTTAGACTTATTGTTATGGAAAGAGCTATTATATTTCTTTGCTACAAATAAGATGTATGACCATCTTTTCCTATTTCTTAATTTTTAATCACTAATTATGTAAAACATGCATGGACCTAATAAAAACACACAAAGCAGCGATTTCACTTCCCGAAAGTGGAAATTGGACTAACTTAAATGAAATTATTTCATTTGAAAATTGTTTATGTTTATTTATTAGAAATTTGTTTGACATAAATGAGGTCACTGATGGGAAAGTTTAAGCGATTTTTTTATGCTCAACGAAAACAAGTGCTTTCAAAATAAAGTAAGCACCCATTGGCGGCCCTTTCAAGCTCANAAGCTTAGTCTTGAACAATGTTTGAAGATTGATTTAGATCGTCAATCCAAGAAGAATATTCCCTATGCTTCTGCAATAGGAAGTCTAAATTATGCTCAAGTCTACATAAAACCTGACATTTCATATGTAGTAGGAGTTCTGGGTAAGTTCCAACAAAATATTGGTTTGGCCCATTGGACAACAGTAAAAAAGGTATTGAGATATCTTCAAGAAACAAAAGATCACATGCTTGTCTATAAGCATGTTGATTACTTGGAGTTAATTGGATATTCAGATTCAGATTATGCTGGATGTCAAGACATAAGAAAGTCTACTTTAGGCTTCATATTTCTCCTTGTTGGAGGAGGAGTTTCTCAGCATAGTGTAAAACAGCCGAATACAGCTTCTTTCACAATGGAAGTTGAAGTAGTAATGTGCTATGAAGCAATTTCTCATGCATCGTGGTTGAGACAGTTTATCATAGATTTAAAAGTGGTCTCATCAATAGAAATACCAATAAAAATATTTGTGATAATACAGTAGTTGTGCGCTTCCTAACAACACAAGTTTAGTAAGTTGATGTCGTCACATCGAAATAAAATATTTTGTTGTTAAAGAAGATGTTCGAGATCCTCATGTATCGATTGAACATATTGGCACAAATGATATGATCGCTAATTTATTCACCAAAGGTCTTCCACCCAGGTGTATATGGCTCATGTAAGCCATACGAGTTTATGTAAATCATTGTGTTAATAATTCTTTCTAATACTTTGCAAATGTAAATTTGATAATTTCAATTAAAGTTTTATGTTATTAATTTTGTGTATACATATAGTTTTGATAATGACAGATGCTTATTGTATTTAAGGCAATAAAATTGACCCAAGAATAAATTATTGAATTTTATTCTATTAAGTCTGGTTGCCACCCATTATATAACGAACAATTCATGTAATGCATGGAAAGGAGTGTTCTCCTAATAAGACATATACTGCCATGATTCATGACTTGTACTTTTATCATGGATGTGATGAGCCAATTAAGAGTGAACAAAAGTTCTATGTATGACTATCCATCAAAGTCAATTCACTCTTTTATATTATTGGGCCAAGTGGGTGACTGTAAGTGGCCCATTAATTGCCACTTAGTTTTGAGTAGTTACAATCCACTATTTGAGGTAACTATCTCATTAACTACTTGGTAACCACTACCGATGGCGGCCGGTGGTGGTGGCTAGCGGCCGACAGTTATTTTGGGTGGTTGGGGGTATTTTGTTAAATTTTGAACTTTTGTTGTTGGAGTGTTTTAGATAAATTCTCAAATATAACAGGTTAAAAATAATACTCTAAATAATAATAATAATAATAATATTAAAAAGGAAATGCAATTAAGTAAAAATCCCTCTGACAATATTTTATTCCTCCCAACCAAACATATTAATTATTTATACTCACAAATCTAATCAAATATATTAATATAAGATTCTCCATTAATCTTTAAGGTAATCTATTTTAAAGGTAATCCTATCTTTTCAGTAATAAAAAATTCCTGGAACCAAACGTTACCGAAGAGTGAAGACAATAAACATTGTAAATTTTTGGCATGAAAACTATTTAAGGTTTATTCTTGAAGGATGTTAAACAAGAAATAACATAGTTGAACAATGTCAACTAGGCTTTCACATCACTTGCACTTATAATTATTTGGAATAAAAGTTAGAAATAGTATCATTACTGTAATCAGTAAAGCTTTATATACCTTTCGTTGGTATTATCATTTACACCCCTAAAAAAGTATCAAAAACCTAAGGGTCCGTTTAGGTTAGAGAATGTGTATTACTGAGAATGTATATTAGTGGGAGGATAGATTACCTTGAAGATTACGGAGAATGTTTAGGGAAATGTGTTTGGCTATGTTAGAATAAATTGGTGGATATGTTATATTGATATGTTTAATTGGAGGATAAATTGAGGGTATGTTATATAGATTACTAAATTGCCCTCCTTTTTAAATTAATATAATATATTTTTTGAATCATGTCTTTTACTCCCATTTGAAATTTTGCTAAAACATCAAAACCATAATAAACTTTATTTATAACAAAATCACCCCACACCCCAAGCCATTGCCGGTAGCCAACCACCATCGTCAGAATGGCGCATAACTAGTCGGTTGGCTGCTCGTGCATTGGAAAAGCCTTTTTCGGCCATGGATTTGTGATCTGTGGCGTTTCATGGCCAAAGATGTGGCCGTGAAACACATCTTTGGTCGTGAAATGACCATAGATCTGACGTGAAAAGGCCAGATCTGACCGTTTTTATGCATGGTCGCCTTGATAGCCGACCGTATGCTGTTTCGATGACTGCTGACGGTGGCTGATAGCAGTCTTGAGTAATTGGTTGAAGTATAAGGGTAGTTTTATCTTAGAAATCATGAATATGAGGTAAAATGTCCATACATTTATTTTAATTGTTTAGATAACAAGGGTATATTGTACTAAAATTATTAGTACGGGTAAAATTGTAACAAAGTTAAGATTATTAAGTAATCTTAAAGTACCTAGAAAATGAAGGTATCAGATTATCTCCTATATTACCAACAGTAATTATCATTGATTTTGAAAGATTACCGGAATCTTATAATACTAAACAACCAAACGTGATAATGTAAGTAAAAAAGATGATATTATCTTAATAATAGGGATTATCCCAACCAAACACACCCTAAGAGGATATGTTAATAATTTTTAGAAACTACAGGACTTTTAAAACTTCTCGTATCCCAGGAGGGTAGGGAATAAAACCCGAATAAAAGGGAAAGAAGTTCATAACCCAAAAATGGACCATGTTTAGTACTCTCAGATTTTCTGGGCGGCCTAGCACTTGTTGACACCAGATTTCGGGCGGCCTAGCACTTGTTGATATCAAATATCAATGAGCCCCCTGTCGTTAATCTAAAGTAATAAATCCATAGTTTCCACCGTAATAAAACTAGAGTAATGTTATATTATATCACTTTTTTATATATTTTATTATATTATGTAATATATATAATTATAAAATTTATTATAATATTAAAATTTAAAAATAAAAATTATGTGATATAATATATTTGACGTGATATAATAAAAATGGTGTAAAAGAAGGATAAACGTAGCGTTACTCTAAAACCAATCCTTGAAAGTACGAAATCAGGGGCGCACAGATTAGGTATTTTATTGTCAATATAAAAGAGTAAACCAATGCGTATATTTTCTGCAATAAAAATATCTTGGATCTCTTGTGCTTCATTTGAGTGTGTCTTCTGTAAATTTGGTGCATCAGGAGTCTTCAATGGCGGCGAGACTATTCATTTCAGGAGCAATGGCGGCCTTCTTCTGTTTGGCATCTCTTTCTGGAGCTTCTGATACAACCCCAGAGGTGCTTTTGTCAAGAAGACCATCCTTCTCACCACGTCGTCATCTTCTCCAAGTCCTATTGCCCGTACGAATCTTCATCTCTCTTTGTTAAAAATGTTTTCTTATGTCAAGTTTAAAGTTTATTGTGTTTAAGTTTGTGATCTTTTTCTCCTTTGAAATTAGCATGCGGGTTTGGTTGAAATTCTCCAAATTTAGCACTGATTCATAGAAATGGGTCTTTTTAAATTTTGGTGTATCAATCAAGTGACCATTTTTATGTATTCTAAGTCTTTATAAAGTTTAGCTTACACTGCTTTATGATTTTTCAATTCATTAAAAGGGAGCTATGGTAGTGAAGATTTAGTGTAAATTGGAAGGGATAATGTGGCAAAGGGATGGAATTCAAGCAACATAGTTTCCATCAAAATATCCCAGCCCCTGTGAATCTTTACTAATTTATTCAATCATTTTTTTTGTGCGAATTATTCTGCAGGTTTTGTAGAAGGGCAAAAGCTGTCTTCAAAGAGTTGAACCAAGTTCCTCATGTAATTGAGCTTAATGAGAGAGTTTGTTTACGAAATCTTTAATGATGCTTCATAAAGTACACGATAGACCAATTCTGTTGGAAAATTAGGAACCTGTTAATAATGTAAGAGGAGAAAAATTGAGGCAACCGAAATAAGTATTCACAATCTTACTGCTAGAATTTCTTGTTCTTTCATACTTAAGTTCTTCGTTTAGCATTTATGAAAGTTGCCAATAGGTTCAATCCCACCTTAAATAGTGTTAACTTACATTTGTAGTGACAGGTGGAGTCTTAGGGCTTTCCTGGTATCCGATTTGCCTTAAAGCCTTCATATTATTGTTACTTGACCGAGATCTTGTGGATGAGTTCCATCATCCTACATTAAAGTTCTGAATTCTTCATATTGTATGGACATCCTAAGATTAATTGAGAAGATTTCATTGTTACTTACAGCTGATGGCTCAAACATTCAAGATGCCCTACTTGAGATTGTTGGGAGGCGCACTGTACCCAGGTGTTCATAAATGGAAAGCACATTGGAGGCTCAGATGGTAATCTTTTCTTTTATGTGCATCCAGTTTTAAACTCCTTTCTTCATTCCAAGAAAAACAAAAATAAGACTATAAAATCACTGG